ACAAATAACCAAGTTTTCGGAAAACCCCAAAATGTATAGAAACCAAATTCTAATTATGTTCAACCCAAAGCTACTCCTATGAGTTATAACCATTTTCAACATTTTAATCAGGAACGTAATTTTTCTGAAGTATTATTTAATGCCGAAAAATGTCCTCAAAACAATCAGTAAATAACGAAACAGTTGACTATGATGAACAAAACTTTGAATACGTAGATGACGAATGTGAGAATTTTCGAAGAATTGCCTCGCCGGATAAAACGAGATAATTGAACTTAACGTTTTCTCAAATTAAAAAGAACTCTGAAATTGCATTCAAACTATACAGAGAAAGAATTTTTAGAAAACCATTTATTGTTTTATCTGTTTAACTGTTTATCAAACTTCTACTCATCAATACTTCCAGAATTTAATCAATATTGAATTTTAAAGTTTCTCACCTATTTAAACTCAAAATGAATTACCCCTAACAAAATTATACCAATACATTATCTTGTAAATGAAATAAAAACTATCACGATCATCAGCAATATTTTAACAAAAATTCCAGTATCACAAACAGAAGGTGATATTTTAATTCCAAACCAAATTGTTAAATTCCATCCAGTCAATCAAAAGCCGAAGATGGCTTGGCTTTTGTCGAAATTTTAAATAAAACTGATTACGAAATCTAATATAAAAAGAGTAAAGAAAATACTAACTCCGATGTACTCTGTCGAGTAGAAATTAACACTAATGAATTAACTGATTATTATATAGGACATTTTATTCAATCAATATTAAATGAACGACAAGACGAAGATAATTATTCGGTAATAGCTAACATGGCTGACGTATAGTCAGAACGCGAAAAAGACACTGACGATCATGACGAAAATAATGACAATAGTTACAATGACGACGAAGCTAATCATACCCGTGTTAAAGAACCTATTTTAGGAATGAAAATTTCTGAAAAATGTATAAATTCAGTATATTTTAAAAATGAAAATTATATATTCCTAATATTGGAAGTTTTGAGAAAAACTTTAATAAATTCAGCTTATAAATTAATTCAATATAATCCTCCAAAACAAAAATTAATGATAACCCCTACACCTTTTAAACAGTTAGATTTTACATTGATGGATTCTCAGCGCAAGGACAAAAATATTTAACTGCAATTGATACCTCTTCAAAATATGGGCAAGCATACCCACTCGCAGCATTGACAGGGATAGAAATTTTATTAAAGTGAATTAAAAAACTCAATGCTTCAGGAATTTTTAGATGTTCATAAAATCAAGTCATTATATTTCACCCAACAGTTCTCAGTCAAGAGGCGCAATCGAGCACTTACATTCAACAATCATTGAATATTAAAGAATTATTAAAGCAAAAAATAATGATAAAATTGACATTTTAAATGATATGCCTTATGCTATGTTCGGATATAATAATTCTATACACTCTATGACTAAACAAAAACCAATTGACGTTATAATTGGTCATTTAGATTATAAAATTTTTTTCAATATCGGCGTTAATCAAAATTTAATTAACAATTACATTCAGGAACATAGGGAGAACACAACCGAAATTTACAAAAAATTAAATGAGAAAATAATCTCGGAGAAATAAAAGGCAATAGGATATCACAATAAAAATCGACATGAATCACTAACGTACATACCTGACACTGACGTTTACAGAAAAAATACAACATAAGTTAGAAATAAGTTAAATCCAAAATTCTATAAAGATAACATTTTAGATAACGAAAATATAAAAATAAAAACTAATAATAACTAATAATGCTTAAAGGATCAAAAACTATAAGACAAAACTTTTACAGGACGCCACTGATCCTAATGATCCTGGTCCCTCTACAAGTAAGGTCTCAAGAGATACAATTGACGAACCTAATTATTAATCCTGGTATGGTTCCCTATCTTTTAGGCACAGCTAAAATGAAATCAACGGTACATACGTTTCTCCATTATTATGACCTATAAAAGATGAAAATGAAATTTTAAAATTTGCCTACAAAAATGTAACTGATGCAATTCGAGATAAGCTTAGCAGCCCTTATCATATAGAATTAGAAAATTTTGATCGAGTAGGTACTCCAGGCACTCCTTTATCAATTAACATTAGCAGATAACAAATTGAATTTCCTAATGCCTCCTAGTCATAGATAAAGAATAACTCCTAGTAGAGTAAAACGTGGTTTTATTGATGATTTAGGTTCTATAATTAAGAGTATGTCTGTCAATTTAGATGGAAATATGATTCTATGATCAAGCCATTTCTGATCTTCAAAACAATGAATTGAAAATTGTACAAAAAGTAAATCAATTTCAGTTACAAAAGATATTATTCAAAATTTTAACAAAACAATTAAAAATAATCAAAAAGTAATATGCGCTGGAATAGAAAGATCTCAAACTATTTTAAATCAATTTGTTTTTCAATTTAATGACTACTTACAAACTCGAAATATTTTAGATAAATTAAATTTAAGTTTAAGCATCATTATACAACTTTTAGAAGAAATAAAAAATTCTGTAACGTTTGCACGATTATGAATTTTACATCTTAGCATAATAAAACCCGAAGAGATAAAATCAATTATAAAAACTATTTTAAAGTAGGTACCATTCGATACACGAACTTCTTTTTACAAATGCAATCAACTATACTTACAAGTATTATAAAATTCTAAAAATGTATGCTTTTTATTCAGATTCTAAAATCGCTTTCGCTCTCCATTTTCCCTTATTTTTCCCTGGACACTTTTCATACTATCACTTTTATTCAATTCCTACCCTAAATTCCACAATTGTAATTCATCGCAATACCTATCTGATGATGAATTAAAACCTTTACCAATACACATCGCTACCATGCATCAACCTGAAAACCAACTACTACTGTACTGATATTGACCTAGCCGATGGATTCGAAAGTGAGGATTGCTTATTTCAGTTGCTCCAATTGCAATCCAATACCAGGAGATGCCAAAGATCGTCAATCAAAGTCTCAAGGAATGTTATCCAACAAATTGACGAATTACACTATATTGGTACTTTTGTGAATAAAACTAAAATCGAAACCAAATGTGGTAGGACTGATTTTACTATACTCCAAGGAAATTATCTAATATTTATACCGTACCAATGCCAAATTAAAACTGAAAACAAAATTTTTACAAATGAAAATTTTCTGTCAGTGCGCCAACCCTTATTGCTTCGGAAATACAGAAATACGGAAATACAGAAGAAATAGCAGAAATTAATTTAAAAAATAAACCTTGATATATATATCAAGTCAAAAAAGTAGAAGAAGAAGCTATATAAGAAAGTCAACCACTTGAAGATCCAGTTCCAAGGGCATTTTTCATTCCGCTAAAATATGCCAAGGTCCAAGGAGTTATGATCGATGACCCCATATACCTTTACAGGAAAACGGTATCTGGTTGCCAGCAGTGTAAATGATCCTCTGTGAACCTTATGTAAATTACCGACTTAATTTTTTTTCCTATGAACATTTTTAATAAAATAAAGTAGTCTGATATCATAGCTTGTAAAGATAACATTAATATAAAACTATGCATATAATTAATTTTTGGGTTTTTATTTTAAGAAAGTGGTAAAAATTATTAACGTGATTAGCCGAGAAGGAATAAGAAACAACTCTTTCAGTTAAGTGTTTAAAAATACGAATTAAAGAGAATAAATAATATGGATTCCGATACTCCTCTCGTTAGAGCAGTCCTTTCTCTCGAGTTTGAAAATATTCCCCAGATAGATAGCCTTAAAGGTTTTTTTTGGGCTAGAAACGTACTGTGGTGTTGCAAAGATAGCCATCAGAACATGCACAAAGCAGTAGATGTTAAACAAAGGAATAGTGAATAAATTCACCAGGACAGAGACAGCCACCGAGCATCTACTAAGCCAGAATAGGAAAAATACTAGATTACTAGTAGCCCTATTAACATGGCTTAACAAACATATGCATAACATCGGACTGGCAGAAGAGACATTGTGCCGATTCTGTCAGGAAGAAGAGGAAACTGGAGTAAACGTACTGTACTACTGTGATGGTTTATCAAAACAGATTCCTTACACTTGGTGAAGAAAAACCATGGGCAATAAGCTACAATATGCAAAATACTTTAACCAATAATTAAAGAATATCCACAATAGATCTGAAAGGGCCCTAAACAAATCTAATCTAGTTTCAACCGACTTGAATTGTATGCAACCGTGATCAACAATCGATATCTAGGCATGATTAAAACTTTTTCTATCTTTGTTTATGTTTACTTAAAATTTAAGTATCTCAATAAAAGTCATCATAAAAATTTAACACTATTATGTAGAACTTGACTTAAAGAGCCTAATATAATATGTTTATAGATTGCCCTAAAATCTATTTTTTATTTATATAGCACAGTTTGAATTTTTTTCAATATTCATTTAAGCTTCCAAGAACTGTGTTAATTAAATCGCCATATCCTTCCTATCATTAAAGAAAAGTTAGCAAGTAGCGGAAAATTTTAAAAGGATTTTCAAACCAAAATTTTCACCTGTCATTTTATGAAGAATGTATCTGGTAAACATGTAGCCAAGAAAACAATTTTGTTATACATAATGACGAGGTCTGAAGTAGAAAACGCAAAATTCCTACCGGTTTGTTGTTCTGGACAAAACTTTAAAAATTAACCTCGAAGTTTGTATGTTATCCGTTTTTGAAGACCTTTGAATTTCACATTAATTTCGACAAAGATGAAGGAAATAGCATTGCTAGTTTTGGTGCCAAAATTGAAAATAAAATAGAGTATGGTCTTTTGAAACAACGTTTCCACTTCCACAGTACATTATGTGTATTACAAATCATTTTCTTACTATTACGTTTTCTTTATAGATTTTTTTTTATTGAGTTTGGGGCAATTTATATGTTTTATTTTTCATCTGACTAATATATATCATCTCACATTATCCTTAATAGTTGTTTACTAGAGATTCCCTAACCATCAACAAGTATTTAGAAGAATTCCCTGGTTTAGTGCATTTTATATACGTTGATAGGAATATTAACAGAATAACTACGCCCACATTGGATTTAGAAACACCAGAAGGATTGTTTAATATAAAGAAGGTGAGTAAACATAAAGTATTAGCGAGTGTAGTAATACTAAAAATCTGATGTGTCAACACATGACTTTCCTATCTATAGTCTGAATAAAAGAGGAGTGCAGTAAAAGTGGGGATATTACGTAACATTCCATAGGCGTAATTTGCAAAATAATTTTCTATAATATAAATAAGGTCACGGCATATAAAATGGTTTATAGGCACTTCGTACATTAAATTTTTGAATGAAAAAATATTTACAAAAAATAAAAATAAACCTTATGCTTCTGACAAAATTGTTGCACTTTAATATTGAACGAATTAAATTTAACCAATAAATATCAAAGAGGATTATGTGTTAATGGGATTAAACTTTTTTTAATCTCTTGGCATTAAAAGTAACACTTCATTACCTAAAATCAAAAATACACTCTGATTTTTTAAAATTTATTTTGAAATTCGTGATTTATTTAATAAAACGATAAATTCAAAATCGTAAATCTAAAGCGAAATGACAAGAGAATACAAACAAAATAAAGAACCCACATTATTTTCAGTAATTGTTGGAAGTTTCCTCCACCCACACGTATGCAAGCATCTACCCTTCATCGCATAAACAGACTCTTCTTCGGTTTGAATCGGCACTGCGTACACTAAGCTTTTCAGATGCCCCCAGAACAAGTAGTCTAAACTATTAAGGTCGGGAGATCTAGGCGGCCATGACTGCGTTCCTCCACGACCTATTCATCGATTGCGATAGGTGTGATTTAGAAATGCACGCATTCGTAAGCTAAAATGCATTAGCCATATCTGGTTTCTTAATAACAGAGGAAGGTCTTCAAGCATTGGCGGCAGATCTTCTTCAAGTGTAAATATGATTGTCCATTTAGTCTTCTTAGAAGAAAAATGGGCCTATCAAATAATCATTAATAATGCCAGCCAAAACATTTGATTAGAACTGTTCTTGATGATTTGATTCAACAATTGCATAAGGGTTTTCATCCGCCCATAAATGGTTATATTATGGAAATGTTTTATTAAGTTTTGAGAAAAATTAGCTTCACCGCTAAAAATAATGGGTGTCAAATAACGGATTTTCCAGGAGGTTTTGAAGAAATCACTCACAGAAATTAATGCCTGGACTCTTTGAATGTGGTATGGGTATAACAAATTTTCGATGAGAATTTTCCAAACAAGAACATGTGAAACATTAAATATTGCCGCGATTTTCCTCGTGTTAGTTTCGGAGTTCTCCTCAATTTCATATCAAATTCCTTCTTCAAGTTCCGATGTTCCTATTGTTTGATGGACTCCTTTAGCCCTGTGGTCTACTTTTAAAGTTCCGGTCTCGTGAAGACGTCTATAAATCCTATAAAATGTTTTCGGATCGGGTAGTACGAGATTTCTGTTGTTATGACATTCAGATTATAAAAATCGCCATACGTTACCGTTTCGATGATGGTGGGTGGGGGTTTCCGGGTTTTTTCTCACCAATAAGACAAATGGCACCATCAATCATCTTTAAGTCGCCCTGGAGCGTTACGGAAACTTATAATAATAACCGTCCCTTCCCATACACAAGTCGCTCAGTCGGCTTCAGGGGTTGAAATTCACTCGTAAGGGGTTGAATTAGGGAGAGTATTATTATTATTATTATTATTATTATTATTATTAGTACGTCTCGCATTACGTCACACCGCAGTTTGGGCGAAATTTGATCAAAAGTCAGCATACTGTTAGTCCGTGTATCGTGGTCGTCTGCTTAAGATTATTAATAAAACAAAATGTTTTAATAATTTTTTCTGTATAGGAAAAAGTAAGTACAATCCATAGATGTACAATCATTATCACAGAACTTACAGTAATTTCAAATATTTTTATAATATACTCTTAATTTATAAATGAGCCGGTTATTTGTATAATCCTTACAGTATTAATGTTGCGGAAATCAAAATTTTTACTAAAAATAAGTTTTCAGCCTCGAAGTGTCATGTTTTGTGCATTTCCTCTCGACAGCTTCTCTGTCATCTTTTGGTTGCTTAGTTTCAATTTTGAAAAACTAGTATTATATTTGTAATAATCTACCCCAAAAACCATAGACTTTGACATGAACTATAATTATACAAATTGATTAAAAATATAATTTAACGGAAATGTCAAAGTCGGTCACTGAATTGATATTTAAGGGTATCAATGAATTGGGCTTATTTTCAAAGAATCATGTTGTAAAGTAGATAAAACTTTGACTTCATTTAATTAAAAGTATGCATGATTTAACGGAAATGTTAAGTCGGTCACCGGATTTATATTTTGGAATATATTTGCGATGAATTTCTAAAGAATCATCTGATGAGGTAGACAAAATTACGGTCGGAGCTTGGATTAAAGGCCAATTTATAAACTTGCAGTTCTGATCTAAAGGCAAGATTTAATCAGCTCATTTTACTCTTCGCCCTTACATTTGACAAAAGAGGAGAGGCCAGACGTGAGTCAGATCGAGCACTTCACGTTGAGTTTTGGACTGAATTGATGGGCTGTGAAGTTCAAATCTCACAAAAATCGTAGCCTATAGGGCCCCTTTAAAACTTATTAACTTTTAACGGGAACTGCAGTTGCGAATGGTAAAATTCATAACTGGCTTCAAATATATGAGCTTCATTCACAGAAAAATGTATAAAGACAGTTTTCCACATAATCTCATTTTCACTAAATCTTGATCTAGCTATCTATCAAATGATGATATTTGTATTAACATGAAAATAATTTTGTATTTATTTTTAGGTATTTTATATGATTGATGTAGCCAAAGATAAATTGCAAAAAGGCTTAATTCAATTTATTTGGAAAGATGAAAGTTTTAGTTATGCATATTTTTTATGGTTTGAAGATATAAACGGACAAGGTCTAAGACCAACAGTTTCTCCTAAAGAAATTGCTGGGTGGCCCGGTATATTGTGTGAAAATTTTTATCAGTAAGTAAATCAATAATTTTCCAAAACTACATTATTTTATAATAGTCCAGTAACTACGTAAATTTACCTGGAAAAATTTGCGGTAGTTTTGATATTTTGTGATTCTCCGTATTTTGAGCTGCTTTTTCCGAATTTTTATTTTGCCACCTCGTATCTTTGCCGCTGTCGCCGCCATATTGCAATAAATTAAAAAAAAGAGATTTTTCAAGATATCTCGTTACTCGTTACGTTTGCAGTAAAAATGGTTATGTAGTAAATTAAACAACATAATTTTCTCTACCAAATTGGTCCCTATCATTTTTTTCATAAAACCGTTTTCGTATACGAGAATTACAAAGTTGAGCAAGTACCCAGCGTGCAAAGCAATACGAATTTTATTTATTGAGCCTACCGCTCGAATCTAAAAGTTGGATACGGATCTCGTAAGCTGATTGACACCTTGGCTTCACTAAGATTTTGTTCCTCGTACACGGAAGCAACACTTTTTGAAGTTTCGGCTTTGATGTGCCCTCCTTTGGGTATTGACGGGAATGCCTTCACAGTTCGTTTTCGACAATGCGGACTTTAATACTCAAACCCTGGATGGCAGAAACACTTTTCATGCCATGGAAGGCATCCATTGTATAACGCCCGCAACTGCCATTGCTCCTGATCAGAATATTCCTCGTCTAACAAAAATGCCGTCAGCTCAGTACGTCGAAAATTCTGGTAGCATTGCACTACGAAGCCATGAGAAGATAAACTTTTCCAGTCTACAGGGAATTCTTATTATAGATCTCCGTACTATTTCTTCAGTCGCAAATACAACAAAGTCGGCAACTTCAGATCTGCTTTGGCTCTACGGGAAACGGGCTGATTTGCCCAATATACCTGGATGGAATGGATTTATGGAAGAAGTGACAGTAAACCATTCATATCAGAAATCTTTTATAGCTTGTTTGCCTTTTATTAATGCACCACCGACTAACTCCGACACGATTTTACTGTTTTAGCATTAGCCTCCGATAAAAGTCATTAAATCAGCAAACATGTTTCATCACTTTTGATCAGCCACTGTATTTTGAAGCAAACCAAATTGTCTGTTCGAGTGGCATGGAAGCAAAATTAAGAAATGTCGTTATACGATTACCTAGGTGGCTTCATTTATTGATGTCGTTCATGGGCGCCATAGGGTATATTATGAATGGTAGTGGATTAACCGAGCTTCTAAGTACAATTTTTGCACCGAACTCACTTGAAAAGATGTCATCTGGACAGGGATTCTTATGTGCGAACTCAACACGTAGCGAATCAAATAGAGAGAGCGAGAGAGAGACATTACATAAGAATCGCATTCTGTGGAACGAAGCTAGTCGTCTCAACACGTGCCGTATTGAAAGATGGGAATCCCAATGCAGGTCATGCATACTCTCGTCCGTGCAGAGCACATGTGTCCATCTCGAAAAAATGGTCATGCAGGAAATTGATTTTATCACCAGACGAACACGCAGGACTAGAAGCAATTCTATGCGATTTCGACAAGTATGTAATTGTAATACTACAAAATTTTAAAATTATCTAGTAACATGGTCCAACCATAGAAATAGTATAGAAAGCCGATTCCATATATCAAAACTGAAACCCTAAGGAGAAAATAGTGTGTCGGAGCTCATGCGTATAACGGTGCTGGCTCGAACAGGACCGGTGCAAGTTTTTTATTGATCGAACAAATAGTTCAAACCATGTTTTATTCATACATTTTTAGAGATTCTTCTATATAAAAAACGATGAAAAAAATTCAAGTAGGATAAATATGTTTTTGAAAGAAAAATATGGCATGAAAAATGAATTGGTTAATTTACAGAAATCATTAGTGCTGCAGTCACGAGATCTTATTTGATTTAGTATCATTTGCTACAAGTAAATTTAATTTGAGTAGTGCAAAATAGGGGGCAGGTGCGTTTCGCCCAGGAATATTATGTTCGATATTTTTTTATATTTTGTCAGCCAAGACTGTGAGTCGTTACTTACAATTAGACAAAAAACCTTTCATGTTACCATTTTCAATATAAAGTATCCAAATATGTCTGCATCTCTCAAGATTCAAAATTAAAAAATACTACTACATTTACTTGGTACTTGGTACATATTTTATTTTAATTTTAAACCCTTTTAAAAGGGTCTTTCGTTTTCATAATAAAAGTTAGTCGCTGCTTATTAGAAACATTCTGTATAGTCTAAACCAATTTATGGATTGTTTTCGATCAATTTAATACAAAGATTTAAAGTTTTTAGTCGATGATAACATTCCACATCAGCACATTGCAAACCTATTTTATAGATAATAAGAATAAACTTGTTATCTCACTATAATGATTTTTTTGTTTATATGACTTTTTTGATTTCCAAATATATTTTGGCCTTACAATACGAAGCGTTTTCTATCTAATACTTTTTTTGTTGAACGATGAATGTTGACAGGCGTGTATCTTTTTCGGAACAAGAGGCGCTTTAACGGCGGAAATGATTTTCGAACTATCCAGTTAGTTTTCGGAAAACTAGAAAATGTTTGAAGAAAGTTGTCAATAACATTAGCATGTCGTTCATTTGTTTCATTTTGATCATTTTTCATTCTAAATTGCATAGAATATTCTTCCTCCGATTCAAAATCGAGATTCTCGATATTTCCACAGTTTATTTATAATACTTTCTACACTGGCTTTATCTATCATTTTATATTCTTTATAATATATATTATCACCCTACTTTGCACTTTATTAACAATTTTTTTTAACATACTTTAAAATGGGAGGATATTCTCAATTCGTTGAAATATTTTTTTATGTATGTTGAGCGATAATTCTTTACTACGTTGCCCGGTTTCTATGATTCCCTTTTTGTTAGAAAATGAATAATACTACATAATTAAGTCAGGATCTGAAGATGGGATCCATGAGAAAATCATTAACATCTTCATTTTTAAAGTAGGTTTTTTAAAATTTCTTTAAACCGTACTGGTTCGCACGCGGTAAAGAATGAAGAAATGTAAATAATTGTTGTGCCGGCCAAAAAGCGAAGAGGAAGTAACGATTAAAATATCGAGTGACAGAAGTTTATAAGTTCGTTGAGATCGAGTTTATATTTTAAAATGCCTTGAAACCCGCATTTAAAAGTATACAATTTAATAGGGTTAATTTTCAGTTTCTACATTTGAAAATATACCCGATGCCAACTCAGCTAGTGATGCCATAAATGTTAGGTACAGGTACAAATTAATACGATTCGTTTTAAAATTCTTTATTTTAAATTATACCCGACTGAAACTGTCTCTGACGTCATGAGCGTTGTGTAAAGGTATATATTCCAAATAAGCAACATTTCATGTTCCATCGCTATCAGGAATAATAGAAGTGGCATCTCATTTAAAATAAAAAGGAAATAACAGAACTATCAAAATATTTTAGATGGAAAGATCATAGCCTGTTTACTATTTTTAACAAAAAATCATTCATTATTTTGTCAGATACCGATAACGTCTTCCCGTCGCTGGACAGCCTATATAAATATACAGCTCTCTATTTACATAATTATAATTCTTAGGTAGGTTTGAATTTCTAGACATTAATCTTGTAATAAATATAACAGCTGCTAAATACATTGATTACATTTTCATTAGCCAATGTAAAAATGTCTTTTATTGTACCTAGGATTTAACTTAACACTACACGAAACTAAAAATAAAATGTCGTGTAATTAAATAATAAAATACAAATTGAAGCCAAAATATCACAAACGGTCCTGTAACGGCACCGTCATAGAGCCTTGAAACACCGGATTAAAGTGGTGTTGCCAGGTCAATATTGAATTTGTAGGTGAATCGCTTGTTGTACATTAATACCGTATTTGTATATATTTTTGGGAATGTAATTACACATAAATATTACTACTATTATAGTTGATTATTTAAATGTTTATAAATTATTTTGGGGCGATATTTCGTAGATATAAACTGATTAAATCATGTAATTTAAAAATAAATTAATTTAAAATTATTTTGTGTTAGGTATGTTTAATATACTTGGCAACACTACAGGGACAAGTCATGCATACTGCGCAAGCTTCTAGACACACTATTTTGAGATGTCAGGCGCAGAGACGCGTTTTTATGCACAGTAGGTTTCAATTTCTGCTTGGATGTTATATTTATATTGGTCTTCTATATTATTTCTATGGGTCCAACTGCTAAATTATTTTATTTATTGAGGCCGAAAGAACCGGAAACTGTGACCTTCATCTCAATAGTATCCAGCAAATGTTGCTCTTTTTTAATGCCAGTGGTCACTTTATGTACGCTAAATGTGGCCATTTATATTTACAGGATAAGTATAGTTTAAAAGAAAAGATGAATCCTACAAAATACAGATCTTTTACAGATGGAGGGCGCGTCACAATTAAACGTTCTGACAAATGGTCAGACATAGTTACTGAGAAATCATTAATGCGAACGATGAAAACCTTAGGTGGACTCGTGGGCGGGGAGCTAAGGAAAGCGTACTTTCTAGGTGGACTATGGGAATGTTAGCATATTGAATTGAGAAGTTCCCGGATTAATCGTGATAACAATGACGTAAAAAAAATTATTAATGGATTGGTTTTCCCAACATTTGCCTTTCCTGCAATGAAAGAACTCATGTTAATAAGTACTGGAGTCATTTTTGCTGTAAAAGCAACTAGTAACAAGATATCTTGAAAAAACTTCTTTTTTCACAATGTATTACAATATGGCGGCCTCGGCGGCAAAATTACGAGGTGGCAAAATTAAAAATCAAAAAGAGCAGTTAAAAATACATCAAATCACCAAATATCAAAACTTCTGCAAATTTTTGTAGATAAGTAGATAAAGGTATACAGCACGAAATTACTAGAGTATAACCTATTTGATGGATTGTAGAGGTAAACCTACGGTTTGTTAGAACAGTGCGCCACGCAAAACTCACAGTCTGCTGAGCGCTGCGCACGTCCACTGAAATTTAACAATGTTAATAGAATAAGAATGGTTTGTTAGAGTTAGCTCAGTTAGACATACGTCAGAGTACGTCGACTGATTACGTCGAAATCAATTTAAGTTTGATTTGGACGCACCCGTTCGGCTGGGCATACATAGACAGTAGACTGTAAAGTGAAATGAGATAAGTATAATTTGTTTTATAATTAAAGCAACAAAATGTCGAAATTTTCTTCTTAAGACGAATAAATAATCATTAATATGGTAAAGGACCATCCCGCACTTTATTAAGTGAAAAACAGAAAGTTACAAAGAAAATATAGTTAAAAATAATGCTTTATTTTGCTCATTGATATTTAAAAACTAACAATTCTTCTTCCATTAAAATAATCGCTACTAACGCGTTATTTAATTCATAAGAACTCATTTTCACCTGCATGTATCAACAGAAAAAGTTGAACTGATTTTTTATTCCAACAAATCATTTCTACTATTGCCGTGAGATTCTGTCGTATGCGTACGTCGAGCGTCGCGCAGTGTTCTAACAAACAGTAGTAGCTTAAGGAGAACTATCTTTGTATACAAAAAGTACATATATTGATCATCCATATGTAATTTCTTACCTATTCTGCATTGTAATGAAAAGGTAATCTGGATCGTAATGAAATAAACTGTATTATAATGAATATTATGATAGAGATTTTATGTAGGCATTTAATAAGTACCTACAATGTAAAATGAGAGGAGAAAGAAAATATTATGTCATTATGAGAAATTTTTAACAATAGTAAAAATATTTTTGTTTAATAAATAATACCGTTTCAAGCAGGCATGGTGTATATTAGGGTGACCATATTTATTATAACCCAATGCTAAACGTTGAACAGGAATACAACATTGATGAATTTTGAAAGGATGAATACCTCTTTTTTTAGCTACCCAAAGATAAAAATTCACAGAAAGAGAAGTCATGTAGAGGACCACCTTATTTTAGTTCCCCAAAGATAAATACAACAAGAGAGAAATCATGTATTAAGTTTTGTCTTATTTGTTACGTTTCAGTAAATTATGTATTACATTGCTGTACAATAATGGCGTTTTGCTGGACAAATACAATTGCGGTACAAGATCAAATACTGGATAGACTTTGAAAATGTACAATACAGCGAAATGCTGTACATAGTCACCCTAGTGTATATAAGTCAGAAAAAGAAGAAAAAAATTATAATTAACGCGATTAAGTGTGAAAAATACTCAATTTCGATTACCCCTAACAAGAAGAAATTGCAAGAAACTTGCTAGGGTTGAAGGTTTTTCAAAATAAAAGTAATTAAACAAAAAATACAATATTAGAAATAAAAACTAATAAAAAAAAAATATAAACAAAACGTATTTTTTTCTTTGTGCTGAAAAGTAATCTTGCTTCACTTTTCTAGTTGAGTTCGACGATTTGTTTTGCCAAATTTTGCGCATCTCCTGACAATGCCATTCGCAAAACTACTTTACCAGTTTCCTGCGTGCAATAATGCCTTTTAGTGGCGCCTCGCTTTTCGTCGTTTGTTTTATTTCACTTTTTTGCGCCATTCGGTTGTACATTTACGTTGTCATTAGTTAAAATACACCGTATTGGCGTCGGGCAACATTTACATAAGGAATTTGGCTATTCTAATAACCCTTATTGCAATCATGTATAGCACTATTAAACTAAAAAAAGCTTCCACTGTAAAATGTCAATCCATGCAGTTACGGGGTATTAGAATTAGCCCATCGATATGGATGACCAATCTATATGACTATATATCATTGGATTTTTCCCTTCTAGTACACGAGCGCCTTTTTAATTTTATACATTTTGGTAGACACTTTTTGATATAAACAACCATATAAGATTGTCCTCCTTTTCTCTATACTCCATAACCTATTTTTACTGCTCAATTTTCCATTTTTTTTTGCGAGATTAACTTTTTTATCCGATTCTCTAAAATCGTATATTTTATTTTTAGGAAATTAAAAAAAAATTGTTTTCCAAAGACACCTCCATCAAAAATTAAGTGTTATGAGGTTTTCTGTCTTCATTTGGGTCTAGCAACTGCTTCAGTAGTCTTAGAGCACACCAGAAGACTTGCAGCTACTATATGTGAGTTGAGGGGGTTTCCCACACAAGCTGTTAACTTCTTTTAAAGTGGTATTTTATTTACTGATATATTAATTTTTACACATTTTTAAATTTATAACTTTTATAAGCTGCGATTATTTATCCACATCAGATGGCATCCCCAGATGTGAATTTTTGATCACGTAATTTATGATTAGATTAAAATCTAGATGTAAGATGTAATAAACGCTCTAGACGTAGTGGTCACGTGAATAAAAATGATTTGTCCACGACCACTTAATAATAAATGAATATTCTACCTCCTAACTAAAAGCATATGGTACCCATATATCACTAGAGTGAATTATGATAAATCACGCTTTTGTAATTCTGGCAATTTCCGGTAGATAACTAAAGATGGGCGATACTTTTCATAACGATATATTTTCTAGATCGAAAAATCAGAAATTCGAAAAATTGGAAAATTAAAAAAGCGAAAGAAAAACCGAAATATCGAAAAATCAAAAAATCGAAAAATTGAAAAATCGAAAAATCAGAAATTCGAAAAATTGTAAAATCGGAAAATTGAAAAGTCGAAAAAACAACAGTTAGTTACCTATGTTTAATAAAAACTTTTCATTCTATACTTAACTTTTATTTAATAAAGAAACCATAATGGTCGTGGACAAAGTATAGTATTAGACTCGCAATTTATGGCCATTATTCACTCGGGTGACTTGAGCCCCTCGCCTACGGCTCGGGACGCAAACATCACTCTGCGTGAATAATGGCTACCATAAATTGCTCGTTTAATAATATATAATATATTATTCTGTAAATTCAAATATTCTTGTCGCAAATGACGAAAATAACGGAAACACCAAATTAAACAACCACTTTTGACAGGATGCACAGGATAGTGCAAGCACATTCTTCTCGAAAATGCTGTCTCTGTCAATGGAGTTGGATAGACATATCCAACAATGTCAAGTTTGGCAATTTCCACTATCAACATCTCATTTCAAATCAAATTAAGCATTCCAAAAACTTTTCAAAATTGATTTATGTGTGCTTTAACCAAGGTTCAATGATTTGTTATATAGATTGCTCAAAGCGGCCATATTGCCTCGTAAGTGCTCATTAATCAGAATTGAATTAGTAAAAATATGTTTTAAAACCAATTTTCAGCCTTTGAATAAATATAGTAAAAAAATCAATTATCTACATTTTTACTTCAAGCTTATGTTTACTTTGAAAAACATGGATGACCAATCTATATAATTGATTCTGTCAAATCCACCAGACCCAAAGGGTTGCCATATCGAAGCAAATGAGCAACTAATTTGTTTCGAATTCCTAATATGTAATAGGGACAGTTACATCTCGAATAAACAAATTGAAATGTAGATGAAGCAGATGTGCCAGATGTGAATAAACAAACGCTCGAGATATAAAAAATGCATCGGATGTGAATAAACAAATGCAGCAATTTTTTTTTACCTTGACTTTTAACACAATTATATTTATTAACATTAATCTAGTTCCTCTCAGTATTTAAGTATAAAATTCTAAGCCCCAAAATACTGAATTGGTGAAAATGTTAGAAGGAATTTAAATGCCAAAATATATGTCATTCCATTTTAAGTTGTGTGTGCCAACCAAAAATTTTGTAATTTTCTGTGATATTTTTGGATACTTTATTATTGTATGAATGAATGTATTAAAGCAAATTCATTGTAATAAATAAATAATTTTTCAGTTTATTGCTTGAGTATTTTTTCATCATGGTACTTATGAGGTTTGTTAATTAATGTTTAAAATGAATACATCTCTGAACTGTATTTTTTTTTTCTATATCAAATAGTGAAAAGTGAGTAGTATACATTTGAGGCAGTGCATTTGTACCGGTCGTCATTGATATCATTTTTTACTAGGCGTAAAAAGTACGACAATACTAGTTACTATGTCTTTTAAACAAAAAGATATTGTCCTACGACCGTATCTGAGACCGACCCTGTTCTTTATGGACCTTCACCGCTGTCGTTACGTTACGTTTCTGGCGACCGAAATTCGACTAGAATGTTTCTTTGCACGCAACCCGATACGTGTAGGAAGGATTTCACGAAAGTATCGAGATTCTTCTAGTTAGAATTGATCTTTTCTAGGCTGTTATATTTTTGTATATACAAGTGAATTCTTCTGCCTTAATAAGTTTTGAAATAAATGTCGAATAAAGATAAATTATTAAATAAATTGTAAGTGTGAAATAGTGCTTAAGAGGAGTATTTACTTGGCTTTAGAGCAGAGCATGCAAGGGGTTCGTAGTACCCCACTTTTAAAGTTTATTTTTGACATATTTTGAAAGAAAAAAATATGTGCGTGTAGGTAAAGGTTAAATCTGTGCTCCTCTGGAAACACTTTTTCAAAATTTCAAAACTCGACTTTTTTGATCCATTTTCTCAATTTTTTTTAGAAAAAACTAAATTGAATTTTGAAAAAGTGGTTCCAGAGGAGCATATATTTAACCTTTATCTACACGTACATATTTTTTTCTTTTAAAAATACTCAAAAATAAACTTTAAAAGTCGGGTACTACGAAACCCTTACATTGCAAGATTTTTCGTCTGGCAAGTGGCGCCTCTGTTAGATTTTTAAGAAATTAATATTTGTGAATGAAAACAATTTACAAAATATTTTACTGATGTTTTACGAGGGATAATTAAAGTTTACGTATTTGTAGGTACACCTTATTGTTTTACGTAAATCATTTCTGTAATGCTAATATAGACATATTTATATAATATTGTGATGTTTATTTATTTTCAAACAACAGTTTATTTATTAATAATTTATTTAAACACTTATTTATTTTAAACAATACTATTTTAATTTATATATACTTCGAATGTCTTTAAACTGATCACTATTTATATTCACCACTGTCTATCTACTAATTACTATTTATCTTTGAAACATCAGAAGACGATTTCTTAAATTTAAATCATGAAGAAGCTGATACTCGTATCTTATTGCACATATTATCAGCCAGGTGAGGTTTTCCTCAACTGTAAGTCAAATAACACCATCAATCATCCTTAAGTCGCCCCGGAGCGCCACGGCAAATAATAATAATATCCGTCCCTTCCCCTACACAAGTCGTTCAGTCGACTTCAGGGGTTGAAATTCACTCGTAAGGGGGTGAATTAGGGAGAGTATTATTATTATAGAAATTCGGGGAATTCACGCTGCATTATTGATTGCAACGATACAGATGTTCTAGTCTTATTAATTTATTTTAAGTAGTTTTGAACTAAAAAGATATGGTTCATAATAGGGCGAGGAGACTCGTGACGATTTATAGCAGTACATGATTTAAATTTGGATAAATAACTTCTAAAAAATTTGCCTTCTTTTCATTCTGTGACAGGTCGTAATAAGACTAACCAATTGTCTGGCATTGGAAAAAGAACCTGTTGGAAAACCTACCTTGAACACCATCACCTTTTGGATGGATTTGGCACTGATTCGTAGGTACTCTGAAAACACATTCTCTAATCTTGAAAAATTTTTCATAAAACTGTATTCTAAAACTGCCAATGTTACTTCCATTAACATTTTGAGGGGATTAATGGCATCTTTAAAATAATTGCTAAATTGCCATTGACTGAAGACGCCCTAAGATTACATTGTTTAAGATGTTTTTACCAGCTAAGTATTTGGCTAAGCTCTCTAAAAACCCAGATGCAGCTTCCTAATGTTGAAGAGTATGAATGGAAAGTAGATCAAGATTGAAGCCTGATACCCATTCTTAAGATTATGCTCGACCTGCTACCAGAAATAACAGAACTTATCATGCAAATGCAAAAAAGATACTATACACAGATAATTTTAATACATGTACAATATTATTCTATTCTAGACTATGGAAGCAAAATTTGCAAATGCACAGAAAAACTGCAGAAATAGTTTGATCATAGCCGCTAATGTTTTGGAAATTGTAGATTAATGTGGTGAATCTGATTCTGATTAGTTTGAGTCTTGTACTTATATATTTTAATATTATTAATTTATGCTTTATATACTTATTATTGAATTTTTTATTAGTAATTTATTGTATTCTGCAAAGCAATAGCCTTACTGTTTATAATCTATACTTATACCTTCCAAAATAGTTTATATTTCATTTTTTTTATTTCCTCAAAAAAAAAATCATGAAGTAATACACCCTATAAAACATTATTCGCTTTCATAGCAGATAAATCAATAATACCTATACAAAATAATGTAAGAGAGTCAAACAGATTGCATACATTTCATCCCTGAGAGAGACGCATACAGTCAAGAGACTGCTTCCTTTCCTGTAAAACCATGACATCAGTAATTGTTTATTGCTATATTTTTGTTAATTTGATAGCAAAAAATATAAGGCAATAACTCTTACCTTGTCAATACACAGGCGAAACTTTTATGAAGAATATTTATTTTTCGTTTAGGCCTTCGTTTTTCGTCAAATGAAAGGTATATTTCTAAAAGATTTTTTTAACCAAATTCGTCGACAGCCAAAATAAGTTCTAATCTACACCATACTTATATTGTAAAATACATATTATTTTGTGCTATTGTGGAATATTTTTCGGTTCCTTTGTCTCAACTTCGCGCGTTAAAGTTTAGAATATGCATCCCTCGTATCTATATACATGCAATTGTTAAAAATATGAATGAATGCTGATTTTGTTTGGTCTCGGAAGTAATTTTGTAGTATTTAGGCTCCACCCTTAAGTTGTAATTTTTATACCTACTAAACTACCGTTGCCCCGCAGGTCTTTCAGTTTGTAATGTAAATTTTCCTCTTAAGTATAAATAAATTAATTAATTAGTACTTAATGTAAATAAATTATATATAAACTACCTAGTTTTAAAATAAACAATCGTTTCATTGGTGTTAGAAGTCGGAATTTTGTAAATAAATAGTGGACAAAAATGACTAAAAAACGGTTCGATTTAAAAGTGGCTAGTAGCGTCGTGGGAGCGTGATATGCAGTAGAATTCTCATCTTTTAATTCGTCACGTGTTGAGAAGTTTTTATCTTCGTCGCACATAATGCGATTTGTATGTAATGTCTGTCTCTATTTGATTCGTTTGGTGTTGAGTACGCACATGAGAATCCCTGTCCTGGAGACGACAGGAGAGAAAACAGCTGACAGAGAAGGCTTGTTGAAAAAGTATCAATATTTTTAATCCAATACATCGATGTTTTTAGCCGATATATTTTGATCTGATATATCGATACAAAATACCCAATATCGAAATTTGTATTAAAAACGATATTTTTTTAATTTATGTAACTAAAGTCACTAGAATCCAAAACCGTAAAGGAACGAACGCAAAGAAAGTGTATTGAGCAATATATAAAAGATCTGTGGTATTGAGAACTAACAGAATGCCGGACGAGTTGAAGCAATGCGCTAGTTCAGTGATGATGTAATTATGGTTCCACTGACAAAGTGACAGTAGATTTTTTGAGTGCGTTTTGTTTACCTACATTATATCGTTCTTTCACTTAATATAAATATATTCC